CCGTGGACTAATTACTCTCCTACGAAATGGACTTTGAACTAACTAATGGCTTTTATTCACTTTTTAGCTCAATATTGTTTTTTAGTAGCTTATTTTATTCTTAGACGGCTTTAGTTGATGTAAAAATAATCATATTATGAATGACATATTAAAAAGAGATAACAAACTATATTGTACAACGACATAATAACATAACTTTTCCATCACTATTACAACAAAGTACTGAACATAAATCACTATTTTCGGTACCAAATTTTGTATGTGTGTGAAATTAAGGATCCCAGTACTATGATCTAGGTCCATGCGTAACCTAGTTACCCTTTCATAAATTATACGCAAAAAAAATAATTGTGGTGTATATTAACATGCATGGAAATAACTGATGTCTGATGGCGTGTGTATAATTAGCAACATGCATTAATTAGCTAATTTTGGTGGGATGAAATTTTGTGTAATAGGTCGATCGATCGATCATATGTCTAAATAGAACCATATATATATAAACTACATTGGTTAAATTATGAACAACGTTTTAGTATACTTTTTTACACATATGATGAAGTCATTAAGCTGCCGTATACATTAAGCATGTGATTAGGCCTGGGCAAAAAACCCGTATCCGAGTACCCGAACCGGACCCGATCCGAAAAACCAGTTCGGGGCGGGTACGGGTATGTGAGTTTTACACTGTTGGATTCTATAATTGCTTACCCGTGGGTATCGGGTCGGGTTCGGGTTTTACCCGATACCCGATGGTGTAAACCGAAAATCCGATCCGCTTAAATGCCCTTGGTTTAGTCTCTAACCCGATTAACCTTTTGACTATTTAGCTTCTTCCCTTTGCTCGATTCTAGAACCCTAAACCCTAAACCCGATACCCGATGGTGTAAAAAATGTATTCCACAGTGTAAACGGGTAGAAAATACCCGAACCCGACCCGAAACAAGCAAGAACCGATATTTTCGGGTTTTTACCGGTTCTCAAATCTGATATCCGAACCGACCCGAACCCGACCATACCCGAACCGAAACCAAACCGATGTTTCGAGTTTACCCTATTGGGTCCTATATTACCATACCCGACATACCCGAACCCGATCGGGTTTTATCCGAACCCGACCCGCGGACCCGAATGCCCAGGCCTACATGTGATCCTCGAGAACTTCACATACGAATCTTTTTTTTTTTTTTAATGTCAATTCAGTGTCCCGACGACGATATCACATACGACATCAAACATTTTCTATCATCAATTTCTATATGATAATATCATTTTTTGTTATAATTTGCGTCTAGCTTATTGTTAACTTTTAGACTCTAACTAAATTTGTTGAACTTGAATATTAAACTCTAATTTTGAAGAACAAAATTGTTTTATCTTTACCAATTTTGTTTTTATTGAAAGATAGGTAGGGTAAATATGTTTTGGAAATGGATGGATTTAAAATTAAATTTAACATCGATGAGGAAGAAGACAGAGTATTAAAGAGGTTAAGAAAATAAGAAGATTGTTTCCCATAAATGGCGACACGTGAAGTAAATAACTCATCTGTTCTGTAATTAAAACGCTGTTTCTTCTTTACCCCGCGAACTTCATGGGTCAATCACATCCCAAAAACTATTTTACTTTTCTCTGTAATAATAAATGGACAAAAGTATTAATTAAAAACAGAGAGAGACAGAAAAAGAGAAAGAGAGATTTTAACGGGGAAGAAGACTTTGAGAAGGATCCGAAGAAAACGGGTTACTTAAGAAACAGTGGTGCGGTTCTTAATTTTCCCTTAAGATCTTTCTTTTTTTCTGTTTTATTTGTTATTGACACGAAAAGACAGAGAGAAACAAGAAACAAATAGAGGCAGAGAGAAGAAGAAAGACGAAACAGAGGATTTTTTTTTTCAAAGAATCCTCTTTCTTCCTCCTTTCTTCGCCTTCCTCTCTTCTTCTCCTGGTTAGTTTTCTTTATTTTGATATCTTTTTTATAATTGGTCTCAAGTATTTCACGTTTTGGTTACCAAATGATTAGAGTTTTGGTTAAAAAACAATGCTTAATTGTGTTTTCAAGATTTTCTTTCTTATCTTTCACGTTTCAAAAAATAATTCAAATGGCTACATTTGTTGCGTTTTGATGTTACCGATGTTTGTTCATTTAAAATAATTCAAAATTTCAGACCAAGTAGGCAACAAAATCAAGAAAATAAAATCTCATTCGTTTTTTTTTGCTATTTCTTATGTGAAGGGTCTTGAAGATACATGAATAAACATCTCATTGTTATGAATGTTGTTGATGCATTCTTTTATGTAAACTTAACTTCTTACAGGTGACCTCTCTGAAAGATTATAAGGTAAAAGATTCAATCTTTTTTTCTATTTTCAGACAAGATCATGTATATTTGGTAATGGTCTTATTCTTTCTTTATGTCTTGATTGTTTTTTCAACAGGTTCTTGACAAAAACTTGTTGAGCTTAGCTGGTTAATGAAGTAGTAGTAGAAATTCTCAAAAAAGAAAATGGGTGGCTGCGTTTCTTCCCAGAGAAAACTGAGCAACAAGCTTCAACAGAAGAAGCAGAAACGCGGCAGATCTGGCAAATGCCGGTCCAAAATCTCGGCTTCTATGCCCGATGTTCCTATGAAACGCATGAGTAACGCGAGTGTCAGGGATTTTGCGGTGAGCGAATATGTTCATCTTGATTTCGACAATTGCGCAGCCAAGATGATGTGTAAGAGAGCTGCAGAGATGTCTAATGCTAACTTCCATTTAACTCAGCTTCAATGGAACTGCAGCCAAATCGATGGAAACCGTAAGCAACTTTCTCAAAATCTTGATTCTGTTTTTTTCCTAAAATGTGTTTTCTTGAATCTGATTAGTTTTTTTTTTTTTTGTATTTTAGGAATTTCACATGAGGAGGCTTGGTATGATTCTTTTAGCTACATCGATTCTGATTCTGATGATGGTTCAAATAGTAGTGTCTTTGAAGGTAAAAAAATTAAAAAATTGCTTAATAAAACTAGAGACATTGGTTTGTGATTGTGTCTGAAAACATGATCTTGTTTTTTTGTAGATGCAAATGCTTCTGCAATGGGACAAGTGATTCAGTATGAAGAATTCTACGAAAGTTACCTGAAAATAGATGGAAACAAAGGTGAGACATACTCAAGCAAGAATGAAGTTAGCATAAAGAGAAACCAAGTGGCTGATGAATCTCATCATGAAACCTTCAAGACTACTACTTGTGAAGATCATCAAGATCACAGGAAGAAATCATCAAAAGTTGTTATGGTTTCTGTGCGAAGAACATCTATTGATAGCAAATCAACAGCATCTGAATTCTGTAAGAAGAAGAAGAAGAAATGATCAAAGTCTTTAAATTTTTTTGAATCTTTTTAACTTTCTTTCTGATGATTTTATCTCTAAATGTGTGTATCAGCTTCAGCTGAGAAGCTCTTGTATCGTCCAAAAGCCGGTTCTGTGATTCAACGTTCTTTGGGAGAGAAGCTGACCAGTCAAGGAAGCTGGTCAGAAGTTTCTCCGTCGAGTTTCAAGCTCCGTGGACTGAATTTCTTCAGGTTAGGATTCATTTTTCAGATCAAGACAGTAAGACAAACATTATTCTGTTATCAATCTAATTGTATTGTTTAAATCATCTGCAGAGACAAGCAAAAGTGTCCTGCACCAAATTGTAGTCCTTACATACCAATTGGAGTCGATCTTTTCGCATGTCCTAAAAAGATCAACCACATTGCTCAACACATTGAGCTTCCTAATCCGAAACCGGCGTCATCACAAGTCTGCGACATCCCCAATCTCTTGATTGTGAACATCCAGCTTCCAATGTATCCAACCTCTATGTTTGGTGACTATGATGGTGAAGGACATAGCTTAGTCTTGTACTTCAAACGCAATGAGAATTATCACAAAGAAATCTCATCTCACTTTAAAGAAACCATCAAGGTATGATGATGATAGATCCTATAGCTCTTTTTATAAAACTTGTTATGTTTCTGTGTAAAGAGAGATTCTTAAAGATTTGTTTTTTTGCAGAGATTTATGGATGATGAAATGGAGAAAGTCAAAGGATTCACAAGAGAATCAACAGTTCCATTCAGAGAGAGGTTAAAGATCATGGCAGGTTTGGTCAATCCTGAGGATCTTCAGCTAAGTTCTACTGAGAGAAAACTCATCACAGCTTACAATGATAGACCGGTTCTTTCTCGTCCGCAACACGATTTCTTTCAGGTTAGATTACCAATCTTTCTTTAGTTTTCAATCATACCTGATATTTCATTTCCAGAGCTTTGTGGTTAATGTTATTGATCATTTGTACAGGGACCAAACTACTTTGAGATCGATTTGGATATACACAGATTCAGTTACATATCGAGGAAAGGACTCGAATCTTTCAGGGATCGTATCAAGAATGGGATTCTTGATCTGGGTTTAACTATTCAGGTACTTGAATAATCTCCAAAACTTTTGGTGGGTAGTAGGTCTTTCTTGTTAGAGTGTAGCTCAAGTAAAACTTTTTGTTTCTTTCTGACACAGGCTCAATCACCAGAGGAACTGCCAGAGCAAGTACTGTGTTGTGTCAGGCTGAACAAGATTGATTTCGTGAATCACGGACAGATTCCAACGCTTTTAACTAACAAACAATGATGAGATTTCGGATCTGATTCACTACAAAATAACACAGAGAGAGACAAAGATCAATCAATCAATCAATGAGGAGAGCAAAAAAAAAGATAAAAAGCAAAAACAGAGAACGTTTTCACATATTTTGTATTGCAGAGACAAAAGAAGAAGATAAAATCAATGTCTTATTTGGAAACATGATTTGCTCCGGAATTTATTAATCTCATGAAAAAGATTCATTTGTACAAATGTCCTAACTTCTTACTCCATTATTCAAAACCCATAACAAAACAACAATTGTATATTTCATTAACCAATGACTGACTATGAGAGATGAACAAGCAAGAAAATTTGTGTCATAGCCATTATGTAATATAAAATAATAATAAACAAAAGAAAACAGTTTGATATTACAACAAATACTTTCATTTTCATACACAAAATGTAAAACCTATCTTTTTCTGAAACAATAACACAAAAGATACAACACAAAATATCCCCCTGTAATTCTCTTCCTCATGTACAAAAGAATTCACATTTTAGTAAACAGAAATCTGTAAACCTAAAAAGCTTTTTAAGTTTTACACAAGACATAGAAGAACAACAACTCCTTCTGAAGCTCTTACTTTCCTGCAAACTGCTAGATTTCTCAGACAAGTGTATGAGTGGAATTTGAGACCTTTATAATGAAAAAACAAAGGTCAGAGTTCTCTTCTCTCAAGTTGTTTGCTCTTCTTTCAGCCTTAGACGTGCAACGGGCTGCTGCTGCTGCTGTTGATTTAAGTTAGCCAAACCGCCAGGTCGATTATCTGACCTTAACTGTGCCGCTGCAGCGGCATGGCTGCTTGATTTAGCTGCTGGAAGGTCATGGTTATGTTTTCCTTCATATGTTGTTACTACAGCTTTTGGATCTGTTGCTGCTCTCTCTACATGTTTCCTCACACCACATCCTGCTGTTGTGCACTTGTAGTAGCTCCTAAGGATCAAAAAAGAGAACATTAAACAAGTATGTCTTAAAACATAAACTATATTGATCACCAGATTCCGCCATTGAAAGAGTTTTGATAGCTAGACAAATCGATGATTTTTCGTGTAGTACCTCGGATAAGGATTCCCTTTGACAACTTTCTGTCCATATTTGCGCCACCTATATCCATCATCTAGAAGATCAACTTCACTCGTCGTTTGGACAATAATTCTAGGCTCTGTCACGGTTCTATGTGAAGCAGCAGGAGCTGGTTCTGAAACCCGAACTTCTGTACTTCTGCACATTCAAAGATCTCTCTCATCAAAAAACCGAAAAAATATGGATTATCATCAATAATCAAAAGAGCTTATAACTTTACCTTCTCTTGGGATCAGGCTCATTCTCATCTTTCTCTCTCACATCAGTTTCTCCATTACCAACTTCTTCACTGTCACTTGCCTCAGACAAGTGCTCTGTTGTCGTAGCTTGACTTGCTGCTTCATGTTGCTCTCTCTTAGTCTTGTTGGAGCTATTAGTTTGAAACTGTGACACCCCCAATTCAGAACTCCCGCGATTGTTATTTACCGAACTCCCATTAAGATTCGCGGTGTTATCTTTGTTTCCTCGTTTAGTGTTTTGAGGAGGTTCATGATTGTGCTGACCTTTGTAGATGATTTCCGTTACTTGTCCATCAAGAGATCTCTCAACCTTCTTCTTGACAGGACATCCTGGATTAGTACACTTGTAATAGCTTCGAGGAAACTCGCTGCCTTTAACTTGCTTTTGCCCGTATTTTCGCCAGTTATAGCCATCATCAGCTGGTTTGTCAACATTTAGAGGCTGTTGTGACCTGTGCTCGATGATGGTCACATCTGAGGTTTCTCTTTGAGCTGGTAGTGGAGCCGAGGTCGGGATCTGAGCTTGACCCGATGAAAATGATTGAACTTGAGAGGAAGGAGGGTACTCGGTTTGTGGTTGCATATTGGCATTGGCTTGAACTGCTTGAGCAGTGACTTGAGCTAGAGCTTGCTGATGAGTCATTCCATATGCTCCCTGCACATTGTTACATTTCGGGTTAGAACAAGAACCGCGAATACCAATCCGAGAACACATCAAAATAGGTAAAGACAGATTCAGAGTCAAGACAAAGTAGAGCCACAGACACGAAACTCGCTAGTTACCCAAAGTCAAAAACTAGATAACCCTATCAAAAGAGAATATAGCAAAGGCATGTCTAAAGAACCATTTCGACTAAAGAACACATATTGTTCCATAATCAAAACATATCAGGTCATAAGAACAAGATTTTTGGGATATGGCACCAAGAAATCTTCCTGAGAATTTATATAAAAACCTTGAGCAACCCCAAATCTTGATGAGTATTTTGATCCACAATCTCCTGAAAGTTCCTACCTTTTCAATACAGTTGAGTTGCAAAGTTCCTTCCTTTAGGAGAAATCCCCAAATCTCTAATAACCCCTAATTCAATCTTAATCTCATAATCTCCAATTTTGACCTAAGATGATTCCAGAAAAATGGTTACAAAATCTATAATTTGTTGGAATATACCTAGATTTGCCAACAACAACAACGTGTTATTTTTTCCCTAAGCAGCCAACAAAACAAAAACAAGAAACAGCTCAACAAAGAAAAGACACAAACATACAGTTTCCATAAATAGATTTTTAAACTTTTAACCAAACCAAAAAAGAGGAAAAAAAACTGTTGATGAATCATAAACCTGAACGGGAGAGAAAAGACCCAAAAAGCTTGGTGAATCCATCAACATGGCCGGACTTAAACCAGGCGGTACGGTGAACATCGACGGCGATTGAGATTGAGAAATCATCAAACCGGTTGGTCTGTTCTGCTTGAATCTCGGGTCAACATCACCACTCGAGCTATTAGTCCCTTCACTAATTCTCTGGTAATCACTAGCCGTCGCAGCAGTTGCAGTCGCCGGAGAAGTCATGGCTCCAGCAAGGAGCTGAGAGAAAGACCTAAACTCATCGGAATCAGGGAACATATTAGAGACCAAAGTCATCGGACCAGGACTAAATCCAACGCCACCGTTAAAGAACATCTCACTAAACGGCCGTGGAGGAAGAGATAAAGTCGGACGCGACGGAGCTCCGGCAGACTTCGATGTCGACGGAGCTTCTTCCTTTTCCGACATCGATCCCCAAAATTAATAAACAGAAAAAGGGCAAAAAAAAGAGCCAACAACCCAAAAATCAAAACAAAGAAAAAAAAAAGAAACTTTTTTTTATTTTTGGTTCTCAATCAAAATCCTTTTTGTGTATATCTGAGTATTGTGTGAATCCGTGTCGTGTTTCGCTTCACTTTTTTGCCGTTTTGTTTCTTTTTTAATATCTATGGCTCTTTTAATGGAGATTTCGAGTTTCTTTGTTTTGTTTTGTTTTGTACTTCTGGTCTTAAAACGGATCTGGAAACATAAAAAGATTAAAACTTTTGGGTTCGCAGTAGAAAGTCCACGCTGCAGATATATGTAAAACAAGCTTTTTCTCTCTCTGCTCCATTTCCTTTTTTTCGTGTGTGAAGTACTTAATTTGTTTTTTCTCTTAAAAAAAATACTTACTTTGTTTTTAATTTCAAAAACTAGCTAAATTTATTTTATTTGAGTAATGTTCAGACATGAATGAAACACGTTTCCAAATCCAATTTTTCAGGAGGCAGTAGAAAATTGGAAACAAATACTAATGTTTAAAATCTGCTTTTTTGAGTTTTTCTGTCGTTTTGTACATTTAATTTTTCACCGGTACATTTAAGTAAATGTTGAGTTTTGATAACATTAATTAAATATGTATGTATATCTATATTTTCAAAATAGATAAATCATTTTAAATTCTACAAAGCATATTTACATTTTTAATTTTCATATTTACATTGTCAGTTGTAGAATCTTCTATGTAACAGTTCTTATAATTTGTAATTAATAATAAATCTAGACAACAAAAAAAAAAAAAGAGAATGCAATACTAAATGAATTACCGTCCATACATTTTTAAAAGAAAATAAATCTAAAAAAAATACATTAAGAAAAGAAATCTGAATATCATCAGTCAAAACAAAAGTTGTACCAAATTGATCAAATTATTTGGTTATCAATTTAGGTTTCACCTTTACAAAAGCGTCGGTCTTGTTATTATTGTACGGTGAACCTGGAGCCAAGAGGCAGAGAGAGACAACCGGACAAGGCCGCAGCTACTCCACGTTTTACGAATCAGAAAATGACAACTGGCATTCTGTTTTAAAGGCCCATTTTGTGTCTTAATGGGCTGTCGTGTATAAGCCTACTCATATCATGAGAGCTGTTTTTAGACAGATAAACAAATATTAATACCATAATTACCAAAAAAAAAAACAAATATTAATACCATAAGATGATAGATAAACTGTAGAAAATACACAAGTTATTTCTGTAATATATATTTTTTCACATGAAAGCAATAGATTTCTAAAATTAAACTTTATGATATTTTGTTATTAGTGGACTTTTTGGGTGTATATTTGTAATAGGAGGAAACGTGATGTGAGATAAAAGAAAACTAGCAACATGACTTTTTTGAAGATACATTTGACTTTGCAAGAAACATTCTTATAATTTATGTTGTACACACGTTGGCTTTAGGGGTAGAAATAGAATTTCTTTCATTTATTACCACACGAAATGTGATTGCAATAAGCCAATAACATAAGACACAGTTTATTACAGCTTCGTTTTAGATTAGACTTTGTTTTCATTTTTCAATAACATGTGTCCTTTGTTTATTTTGCTTTAGTCCAGTTTACTTTTCGTTGTTTCTTTTAGTTTGGGGTTCCATTTTGATTTTGATCTTAGAAAATGAAACTCTGAATTTTAAGTGATCATCAACTATTTAGACTTATTTTAGACCTACTTTTCAAATTTTGAATACTAAACTGATCTTAACTTTTGAGGTTTGTTAGCATATTTCAATAGTTATACTCTTTTATGGTATTGCTTCTACGTCTTCACATAAACGCACGAGTAAAGACTTCGCGCATAAAAGGTTAGAATCATGGGCGGACACGTTGACATTTGGACAACCATAAAAATCAAACAATTAGAAGAAGTTCTAGAAACAAAAGTTTAATATCCAAAACAAAGAGTAACCCAAACACAAGATAATCTCCAATAAGTAACGGAAGCCTAAAGAAAGAGAAGAAGAAGAAGCTCATAAGTTATAACAAAGGGCAGAGACAGACAGTGAGAGAGAGTCGCATAAATTATAATAATAAAACATTGACCTCCCTATTAACGCCACGGTTGGTTGGTACACCAGCGGCTTTGTTAGTCTCACTTGGGACCAATGTCCTTGAGAGCATTTATCTGTTCCTCTCCCATAGCTGACATCACACTCACCACTAGATCTTTTCCATCATCAAACCCACTCTTGATCTGTTCCATTAACACAATCAGGTCACTCATTCATTACTCTGCACTTTTTCTTCCATTTTTAGGACTCGACATTGAGATGATTTTACTAACTAGCAACATTCTTTATTAACATGATGAACATGCAAAACTTAATTAACCTGTTGGAGCAGAGTGTCATCAGTAGGGAGCTTGAGGTCATCCTTGGTGCTACCATTGTCAGTCAACAAACTGACCTGTAAAAATGATATCACAAAAGAACACAAGTTATTTTATAGAAGCAACTATTATAAAAGGGACAAAGGGCTACATAAGAACACATACATATCCATCTTCAGAAATGTCAATCAGTTGATAATCAGTACGGTTGACATGAGGAACCTGAAACACAACAACTCAAACAAAACAAAATCTCAAATGGGGACTTGAAAGAAACAAGCAATAAACGGAAGTGATCAAAGAAGCTTTTTCACATACATCACAATTGTGGGAAGAAGGAACAATGTCTTCAAGTTTCTTGCTGGTGAAGATATCTATAGCTACAAAATGACATTTAGCATGACCATGCTTGCCAGTCTTTGACGTTGAAACCTCAACAACCTGAAACACAACATTTCATTATATAAATCTACGATCTACCAATCTCTTCCTGTTGTTAAGAAGATCGCAGATTGAAAATATTAGATCACAAACCACCATTAGCATGCAAGAACCCTAAAATAATATGAGAATTTAACAAGAATCACAATAACAAAGCTCTATCGAAACAAAACGTAGAGATACTGAAAACATAAGCTGAGGGATCTAAATAATCAACAGATCTAATAAGATCAGAGGAACAAATCTTTGGGAACGAAACCTTGCAGGGACGACCTTTGATGACGATGTAACCATTCTTACGGATGGTTCCAGCTTGTTGTGGGTAAGTTTTGGAAGCTCCGGCGTCACTGGACTCAAAATGATGCTCCTCGTCGGACATGGTTTCAGCAGAGAGCTTCGACGAGGATATTTTTGGTAACAGAGGAAGGTGACGACGACGATCGGGAAAGGCGTTTTCGTTTGGGCTTTTATACCAAGGCCCTTTCTAGGGTTTGATGGGCTTTAAAGCCTAATGTAAACAAAAGTGTTTTTTCACCGTTCGATCACGTGACTGTTGTACGGTCTGAGATGAGATCAATGTATTTCGTTACAGGTTAAGCCCAATGGGCCTCAATTTAGAGTCCAGATCACGGATCACTGACAAGATCTAGCTTTTGTTGCGTACGGCCTAATCTTCTTGACGACCAGGAGGACTGGTGGTGGTCAAGCTGAGGTGGGAATAGTGGGGTCCATGAGTGTGAAAGTTCACGTGATGGGATTAAGATGACACGCGCCGTTAATCTAACAAATATCATAGTTAAGAGTGCGAGCGATCACAGCTGATTGGTGGTGGAGACTTTTATGGGTCCCTTTTGATTCTTGTTGATTCCCATATTTGTAGGGTCTCTCTCTAAGAAGAAACACACACACATTGTGGAAATTTTAATTTAACTCATCTCAATAAAAAAACTTTAATTCACTACTCAACATCGTTGGAAACTTCAAAAAAATTAATAAATCGAAACAACGTTTATGATTATAAACTCCGAAGTTAAAAATGTACTCCCTCTAGTCTAATATATATTTTGTTATATTTTATCAGACTTTCTCAAGTTTCTATTCACAATTTATATTAACTTAATAGTTTATGACTATTTGAATTGTGCAGTACTATTGTTTTCTATTGATTGAATTTTTATAAATGAAAAAAGAAACATTTATTATTTTCAAGCTTTGTTTTTAAACCAAAAATTCTTATAATATAGTACACATGAATATTGAATACTAAATATCATTTCACCAAAATAATGACTACTCAACTACAAAACATTGAGACAAAAAAAATCAACTACAAAGAATCATTAAGACTCTAATTATGATGTAATATAAGTTACTCATTAAGAAAAATACGCTCCAGAACAAATATATTTTTTTAGAAATTCTTTTAAAGTAATAATATATACACACACGAGAGAAAAACAATACAAAAAATATATATATATATATATGATGGTATCATAACTTTTGTATCATAATTTGATGAATTTTTTGACAAGAAAGATTCTAACTGTTTATAATTAATTGATCATCTGAGAGTAGTGGTTTGATTTCAGAAACGTGCGGGTACAAGAAAAACAAATAATGTATCTGTATCGTGTCTTAATTGATATGACAATTGAAAATTTTACTTGTTGTAATTTTAGTCTAGTATATAGTTTGGACTGTATATTTTCTTTGTACAACATATAAAACTCTTAAAACAAATTTTCAAAACAAAAAAAAAAAGATTGTTGGAAAGGAACAGTAGATACTACGTAAGTACAAAACAATTTATACGTCCATATGCAATCACATCATACGAAATTGATCGTACATGAAGACATTTTATGCCTGTTAATTTGTGGATACATATATATCATAAACACTGACAACTAATTTGCTTGTTAATTAGACTTTTACTATTAGTCGTTTTAATTAATTTTCTTTAGCTTAAACTCGCAATTCGTTTTTTAATTTCTAATAAATAAAATACCTGTATTTACAAACATACGCTTTCTTGCATACATACTAGGCTATTTATATGATCCACAAAGAGCAATCATACATAGGTCAGGCTATTCAAAGGACAACCTACATAAGTTCGTACTATAGCACAATATTTGTTGGACAAAAGCACAATAATATTTTCTAAGCCTACAAAATCAGTCTAAAATTTTATTTTGGTCCAACAATATTGTAACTAAATTTTAATTTTTTGTTTGATTTTTCGTACGAGAGTAGAGTATACATGTGTAGAAGAAACCCAAACGTAAAGAAAAATTAATTTTCAATTAATAATTAAATGATACAATCGACACCTAATTAGAAGGTTAAAAAGGGTAAAAGATGTTTCTCTCTTATTTTGTCGAGACAGAAAGAAAACATTTGTTTCTCTCTCTAATCCCCAGAACGATCTGTGTCCACGAATCTAGGATTCCGTTTCGAACTTACAATTTTTCAGACAAATAAAAACCACCTAACTTACACGTTATTTACATCATCTGCCATTTATTAGTTTACCAAATTGCCCTTTGAAAAAAGAGAGCATCTTTTTCCCTTTTTTTCTCTCGTATCTGTCATCAAACTTCGGTGATTGGCTCTTCACATTCCAAGTTATATAGCATCAGGTATCAGCCGTATGTACACCAGCCGGTAATTATATTACACTAAATTTTAATAACGCCTAGTAACTACTCCCTCCGTTTCATAATATAAGTCGTTTTGGAGAAAAAGTTTTGTTTCATAATATAAGTCGTTTTCAAGTTTTTATGTACTTTATATATTACTTTAATATTTTATAATTATTTATATTATGCAGTCTCTTTTATGATTGGCTGAACTTTTTAAAAGTAAATCTTCTTAATCTGCGTGTTTAAAGCTAAAACGACTTATATTATGAAACGGAGGGAGTATAATTTTTTTAACTAGTTTAAAAGGGGTCGAAATAATTTTTTTTTTAACTAATTGTGTATCAGTATAAATGTATAATTATGTCCTTATTTGGAAATCTGAAAGCTACAATAGCAATTGAGAGTTTTTTTTTTTTTTGGGGAGGGTGATTTAGACCATCTCCAAGGAGACACCAAAACACCAAATTTGGTGTTAATTCAACTCCAACGTGACACTATAATGGACACCATCTTTTTTTATTTTGGTATTTGGTGTAACACTGTTCACAAAACACCAAAAAAAAATTATTAGTTTATTTGTATTTTTGATTTAGTTTTATATTTAAATTATTATTTATCAAAGAAAAGACAAGTATACCATCAACATTTTTGTATGTTCTCATATTTTATAATATGAAATTTTAATTAAATTAATATGAAAACTTTTAATTCTGAGAATTAGTACAATGTAATGTATTTTCTATTATTTTTAGTTTATCGATTGTAATCTTATATTAATTAAAATAAAATAAATCAGTTTTAAAGATAATTAGTGTTTATCAAACTATTAAAAATAAAGAGAATTTTAAATTTAATAATATAATAAGAAAAGTTTTGTTTTTGGTGTGAGATTTGGTGTTTATGGTTGGAGATAGAAAAAAAAATAGAACACTAAAACACCAAATTTGGTGTTAAAATTTGGTGTTTTGGTGTTCTATGGTTGTAGTTGCACTAAGGCCCAAACTATGTATGAATTTGGCAATGGGCTTATCATCAGTCTTATTCAAGGGAAAACAAAAAGAAAGAAAAATATAGTGGTATTCTACTATTCTTATTAGTATTTAATCAAGAAACAGTCAATAACTAAATAATCAATCATATACCTATTCATTAATTCACTTTAAGCTGGTTTGTACCGATTTAAGCTGGTTGGGGTTTGGATGATTTTCAGAGTATAGGCTGGTTATTTGATATCCGAAAGTTTCAAAAAGAAACTCCTGATTTTTAAATATACAAAATGCGCATAATATTTATACCATCTAATTATGTCTAAAATCTTAGTGAAATAATTTGAATCTTTTTTCTTTTCAAGTTTTGATAAAACATTTATAACTATTGTACAATTATGAATTGGTTAAATGGATTAATTTATTTGTACATTTTGTTTATGGATATCAGTGATTGGTATGTTGGAATAATTTACCCATTCTGATTTATTCGGGTTTTGATTTTCTCTAAATTTTTTTAAAACAGATCTCGATTTGCTATAGATTTTATTGGAATCTACTTTTTCAGGCTATAATACGATAATTAAGTGTTTAATTCATTACTTTGTGTGGACAAGTGTGGTTTGTCTACGTTTTTTGATGCTTTTCAAAAATTGATGTAAACTTTTCGAAAGGGACTATCTTTATGCATAACTCATGAGAAATTATTTAATTCGCATTCAATAAAATAATACTAGTATATACTTAGATTAATAAGTGGACGTTAAAGACAAGAGGGGATTTAAAATAGTTTTTTTTTTTTTTTTGTTGGTAAAAGGAGAATGGAGGAGAGCTAGTGGGAGACGAGTGGCAAATAGTTTACTTTTTCAATTTCAATAACATTTTCTTTTGTTTTAATTTTAATTGTGATAGTATATTTCTGATTGATAGACATAATGACTAATGAGAGAGTAATATAGTTTGTTACCATCATAATTTAATTTTCCTAAAGACTTTGATCTATGTTTAATAGTTTTAGTAGAAATACTAAAGGAAATTGATAGTTGCATAGTTGCATACTTGCATGTGTATATTGATAGTTATAGAATTATTATTTTTGCTCTTTGATTCGCAATGAAATCAATTTGGTGGGACATACCATAAGAAGTATGATAGGACCCTTGACTAATACTCAGTTTATAAATCTTGATGATTTTTTTTTTCTGATGAGAGTGACATTTCCGAAAGTATACTTTGGACCACTTTTAAGGTCTATTATCCCAACTTATCTTAAACCCAAATAAAAGCATTATAAAACTATTGCTACTTTGGACAAAAAAAAACAAACTATTGTTACATGTATATAATAATACAGGCCCTTCGATCTATTATTTAAGTCTTCGATCATTTTTTTTTTATTGATTGTATTCAAATTCATTTGCGTACAATTTCTTGATAAACGTTTAAAATAGTTAAAAACTCTGCTGGAAAAGAGTTTTACTGACATTATATTACACGATAAAAACAGATAACGTTTATATGTAGATTTATCAGATATATATATAGTATAATGTATTAGTTCATGGATTTTTTTTCTTGCATTTTACTATAATTCTTGGATATGAACAGTAAAAATGAGACATGGTCAGAAAATTTCCGATGGTACCTAAAAAAAATACCAATACGGAATTAACCATGTGGGGTTTGTGACATAAGAGACAAAACATAATGATGCCATGCCACACAACAGCCGAAGACCGTATGTAAAGTAGTTTTTTTTACCGAATACCACTTTTGTTTTTGTTGATGTCTATTACCAAAATTATGTAAACGAGATATTTTTGAAGAATTTCAAATGTATTAAAATTAATTTTAAACTTTCGTGCATATATATTTAGAGTTCAGTATTCTAAAGAGTTTTGGTCACGTTGATGAAAAAAAAGTGGTAATTATTTTGTTACACCTTTAAGGGCCATTTCACAGTATTATTTTATGTGTGCTGGACCCTCAAACCAGATTTGGTACCAATACATCTTTGGAAATTCTGTTGTTGTTAAGGCCTAATCTCTTGGATTAAAATAAAAATTCATTTTTCATAAATACTTAAACATCTAAAGTAGAAAAAAATCACAAGGTTTTACGGTACAAATTACCATATGTTTTCTTGGCTCTGTGCCTAAACAATTACTACCATATATATTTAATGATCTCATAATATAATTTTCAAACTTTTTTGTTTGGTAAAAATAATTTTAAAACGTCACAGTTATTATTTCCTCATG